TGAAGCTTATTTGTTAATTTGTTTCTTGTTTGAAGCTAATTTGTCTTGTAGCACTTCAAGGATGTTTGCTTGTTCATTTAAGCTGATACAGTACATAGTTTGACAATGATTTATGGAAGATAATAGGGCTGAACAAGTTTGAATAAATATCTAATGCATTGAAAAATATGTCTAAAATGAATATTGTGTGATATTTGTGCAGATCTATGCGAAACAAAGATGCTTTTTTAAGTGTAGAATATGATGTGTGGGCCAGGACATCTGTAGCATGACCATATTTATTGTATATTACTTGAAAATTGCAGTAGGCCATATTGAGATTTTGATAAACATGTCGATTAATTGTTCAACCCTAGAAGATAAGTGGGCTTTTTCCATCATTGTTCATTCTTTTATTGTTTTATTGTTAATGTCACTGGCAGTTAAAAGTCACATAAAAATGCTTATAATACATTGACATGTTGATAACACATAACCAGTCTCAAGACTAGTTATGCATTGGTGAGTGTGATGGTGTTCATGAGGTGTTGCTTCGAGACAGGTGTCGCTCCGCGATGTGTCGCTCTAGGATGGATGAATACAATTATTACAGTATACCCACTACAAAAAAGTAGACTACGCCACTGATTAGGGGGTAAGAGGTGGCACTCTGGTGAGCTCTGATGGAGGCTGGCATTTGGCTGGCACAATGGGATCTGCCACACAGCACCTCCCCTCTGCTGGATGCAGCCTGACAGGTCCAGACGCTGCGTGTCAGCTGTAATCCTCATTATGCAAATTAACTCACACCAAGTTAGGGGCGATCATTGCGGGTCAGCTGGAGCGCGGCGGCAGAGAGAGACGAGCAAGGAGCGGAAGAAGGAGGAGGGAATGTGTGAGAGAAGCGATACAAATACATTGATTCTTCCTGGGAATTTGTTTTACATTTAATGTAAATAAGAAGCTACAGTGACTTTTTTTTTTTTAAAGCGCCCTAAAACATTAGTGCAGGAAAGAGTCCTAAAGCTAGGAATGAGTTAGCATGTTAGCACTTCCCTCATCTTGAAGTCGATGTTTTTTTAATGTGTTTTTGGTAAGATGCATCAAAAAAAGTGAAGCCTGCGAGGAAGTTCAGGCTGTCAACTTGTGCAATGACACAAACATGTGCCATGCCTTTCCCCCTCATACGACCAACCAAACACATTCTCCGTAATCTGGCGCTCTATTCAAACTGCAAGATCTGCCATCTCTGCCTTGCTAATGATGCAGCAGCTGTGCTGCATCGTTCAAATCCGGACTGGGACCACTTGCTGCATGTTATCCCCTCTGTCCCCCCTTTACAACTCTGTCTCTACATAAAGGCACAGGATGCCCCCAAAAAAACGTATACAAATATATGCAGGGAGTAAAGATGGCAAATCCGGATCATTTTATGGACTCGGAGTCTTCTGAGTCAATCATTGAAGAGATCCGGATCATACGAGTCATTTGAGTCATTTGAGTCATATGAGTCAGCATGACCAAGACCGTAGAAATCCTACCGGTGAAACCGAAAAGTTGTTGCATTTAACCAGCATATTAAACTAACGTTACATTAACCTCCGCTACACAGTGTCTTTTGCTTTAATAAAACATGTGTGTGTGTGTGCATTTTAAAAAATAAGTGTTTTGCATTATATGTATATAGTTATTTTAATATGTTCCTGTACTTAAGCTAATTTTGCACAATTGTGTTTTCATTTATTAATAATAATAATAATAATAATAATAATAATAATAATAATAATAATAATAATAATTGTATAATTACATTTTATATATTCTAACTGTTTTGCAATTTTCTATCATTTGTTTCTTTTTGTGTGCCATGTTCAAAATAAACGAGTTTCCAAGTAAGATCCTTATTGGAAATGCAGATATTATTACAGGAGACTGTTGCACAACATGACCATTTTGTTAGAAGTCTACACTGAAACTTAATTTAGAGCCGGAAAAATCGCGGGATCCGTGAATCCAGGTCAATGATCGAGAGAGACCAGTAGCCTACGAGGACTCAGAGCCGTAACATATAGCAGGCAGCAGATCCAGAGATCCAGCAGACTCGTCCCCATGCACGAATCTACAGCAGACTCAGCCCCTCCTCCGGCTCGCACGGCTCCCGCGAGTCCCACGGCTCCCGCGAGTCCCACGGCTCCCTCGACGAGTCGCAGCAGACTCAGAGATTTGCGGACTCACGGCTCACTCACGGCTCACGGCTCACTCACGGCTCCCGCGAGTCCAACGACTCACGGCTCACTCACGGCTCACGGGACTCTCGCGGGAGCCGGAGGAGGGGCTGAATTTGCTGTTGATTTGTGCATGGCGACGAGTCTGCTGGATCTCTGGATACAACAACGTTGTAATGTGATTGTACACGTTATAAAGAGAGTAAAGAGTGACGCAATTTATAGTTTTAATTGTTACGTCACATCAGGTGTAGGACTCAAAGGACTCGGGTTAATCGAGAGGGAGACTCGTCACGACCGGCTCATTACTAGGATCCGGGTTAATGATCCGGATGAATCATGACTCGCCCATCTCTAGCAGGGAGGCATAAGGAGAAGCCAAACTCAAACCATATATTGCTGCAAAAAAACATTTCAAATGTGACTGAAATGAGGGTGCTTTAAAGATGCTCACAAGAGTTTCATGTTTTGTCTACGACCGTACGACGTAAAAGACGTCAGTAAATTCTCCACTGGTGAATATCTGAAGCTTTTACGTGTCCTTTAAGAAGCAAAAGATTGCTAAGATTACTTAAGAGCTCAACAAATCATGTGAAACCCAGATTTGGCACAAAAAAGGGGGAATACACGTTTCGCAATTATGCCACATCAAGGTGGAACGCTCTTCCCACAACTGTAAAGGAAAGTAAAACTATACTTACCTTCAAAACCTCTCTTAAAGAGCACCTTCGCGGGAGAGCATTGCAAAACTGGCCCCGGTAATGGTACAAATCTCAACCTGTCGTTCAATGGACAGCTTCCCCCCCCCCCCATCTATGTATATACTCGCATTTTAGACTCTGTTACTAACTGTATATCTGTAGACTTGGTATGTCTTAAATGTCCGGTTAGGATGTATTAGAACGAAATCTAAAATGAAAATTGTAAACAAGCAATCTGTATGTAAAAAACCACCTGTATGTAAATTGTAAATAAGCCATCTGTATGTCAAATATGTCTTATATGTCTTAAATGATATGATGAATTGGAAATGGGGGACCCTGATGTAAACAAGACAAAAGTATTTCTCTGGTCTGCATCCCCTTAACAATTGTATGTTTTGAGCTGTACTGTACTGTACCCAATATACAAGCTGTTAATACACTTTTCAATCAATAATGTCATCATGCCAAAAACATTAGCCACCTTCAGTTTAGCAGTGGCGATGCGTGATCGGGATGTAGTTCATAACGCTTTCTACTTAGATATCGTGCAATATGAAACGTGTAAGTATCACAAAAGTGCTTTCACCAAAGATCTTATTTTCTGCCATACATTATTCCAACATCCAATATTATTTATGTTTGTTAATGAAATGGTCAATCGATTCTCAAAGTGGGGTCTGTAACACTCTGCAAGAAGATTAGTGACAAAGTTGGGATTGATTCATTTAGAGTAACCTGATAGAGGGCTGAGGATGATTTATTATACTTGATGGTCTTTTAATGGAATCGAATTGTGATGATGTTACATATCGAGGTATCATGATACACAAAGTCTTCTAAATTCAAAATAACAAGCAAATTCACTTAACTAACATGAAATCAACTAGTGTGCAAATCTGATTTGTGCACATGCTTGAATAAGCATATGGATCTAAATATTGATTTAGTTTTTCTCTATAATAAGTCCAAGCTTTAAGTCCATGTTTATTCTGCACTAAATGTCACAATTAGGTATTAACTTCACCCAGTAGAATACAAAAATAGACTTTGTCATTGTCATCATTTCTTACATTGCAGGTACACAATAATGACTAACATGATATGCAATGACTTCTATTGGGATAGAAGATCATGGCCATATCGTGCCTCCCTATTATCAAAACAGGGTTAATTAAAAGGTGAACACAGCTTTGTGAAATTCTAACATAAGGTGTTCTCCGGTAGCCTACATTCTCTTTCCTGAAAAAACATCGATCATCCTCTGCTTCAGCAGCTGACAGCCAGCAGGATGCACTGAGAACCAAGTGAGGCTGCAGAGAGAGAATCCCATCAGAGCACAGACTCAGGACTCTCCAACACTCCAAGAGAAAGCAGAAAGTTAGAAAGAGATAAAGACCATCTGCCAGTCAGACACCCAGCTGCAGATGTTGGGCAGGCAGCAGCAGATGGCCAGGCTTTTCCAGAAAAAGACGCATCTCACTAAACAGCTGGATGGATTTGCCCTGCAACTTTATTTTTTACTAAAGCTTTGAATCTGCCCCAAAAAGAAACAATGGTGCTTCCCATCACTGAGTCCCTACAGCTGATATGCAAACTTGTAAAAGCTCAACAACAACAGCTGATGATGATGGAGATGTCCTGCGATGCAAGACATACTATGTACCTTTTGTTGCCCTAACATGTGACATCGTTCTGATGTAAAACTGCTTACTCCCTGAGATCAGAAACATAACGATACCTTCTTGAGTGAATAATGAATAAACCGTGATGGGGTATTTTAGACATGGCACCCAGAGTGATTTATGTAGGCCTGGCCTATGTTGAGCTTGATCCTCCACGACCAATTATACCGCTACAACCACGTCATTTAACTGAGTATCCACACCTGTTCTTTCATTAATATCCATAAGCAGCTCCACAACGTCCAACAACATGGAAAGCACCGCGGCCAACATGTGCGTGGAGGTGGAGCATCGACCTCCCCAATCTTAAATAAGCCTTAAAAAGTGCGCAGAAATGCTTGGCTGTTCGTAATTTCTCCGTGTGGAATAAAACGCAGAGAGGTGTAACGTTTGGGGACAGCAATGCTTACCTTTGTGTCCGGAGGCTGGTCGGGCAGGCAGCAGTCAGCGGCGCGTCGGAGCTCCCCGGAGCAGCTCCGCGTAAATGTTTGGACACGGCATTTCGTGGAGAAAACTCGCTCCTGTTCCTGTGCAGCGACAAAATCCAGCGGAACCAACAGTTACCTCCGTGCTCCTGCCTCACACTGACTCAACATTTCTCCCCCTCTTCCCTCTCGTCTCCTCACTCACGAGTGCATTTATTCCTCCAGAAACAGTGCCAGCTGTCCCTCTACTGTCCTGTGGTGACAACAGCAGCAGACGCATCACCGCTTTTTCTCGAATGTGTGAATGCGCTACTGTGGTGTGGCGCTGTTTGGATTTAATGCGCTGTCATACAGCGCACCGTCAGGTAACTGCGCTCACCTGAAGGGAAGGATGCTGCTGCGGCTGGGGGGTCGGATGCTGCCCCCATGTGGAAAGAAAGAGACACACATCATGACAAAAAAAAGGATATAAACACAACATTCAGTTTAAAGGAGACTTGTCATGCTCAACTGAAGGTTCATTCTTGTGTTTGGGGATTGTATTAAAACATGTATGCACGATTTAATGTTCTTTAAATACATTAATTATCTCATACGGTCTGGTCTGTCTTTAATAAACCTAAATGTACCATTGACATGAAACGCTCCGTTTAAGACCTATCGCTTTAAAGAGCCTGTGACACGAGTTTCCCCCATCATCCAAACCCATCAATTTGAGTAAATATTGTCCCCTTGAAAACCGTTACTGAACTGATTTTGGATATTTGTACTTTGATAACCATTAATCTACCCTTCAATGTTGACCATTTTCTGGATCTTCTCGGGGATTCTTCAAGTCCCGCCAAATGATGTGTGACGTCATTGCGGGCACAGCGCTCCAGCTGCACCGTTCAGGATCTCAGCATCTGCATGTAAACGCACGATGGCGCACACAGCAGCAAGCTCAGACAGCGATGACAGTTTCATTTTGAACGTGTGTGAGAGCTCATATGAGGCTGAAGGATCGGTTTATGTTGTATCTGTTAGAAGTTTAGGAATTAGGTGGGTCAATATGGGCGATCATACGGTCATGTAGCCAGTGGTGGACTGGGACTAAAAATCATCCCGGGACTCTCGACCGGCCCACTTCGGTACCGCTAGTAAATTGTCAACGGGGGGAGTGGGGGATGTCAGGGGCGGCGGGTGCTGTAGATAGTAAATGTAAATATGTAAATATTTGTGTCACTGCATCCTGGTCAAATACAAATATAATGCAATGTCTGTGTCTTTGACATTAGCGCTGCTAGCCACCTGTTCCCTGTACTACGAAGCCAGTTCAACATACCCTGGATATGTTTGAGTAACAAACAAACTAACAACAACAAACTAACAAACGAGATCTCGCTAAGCGGTCCTACGACGCTGGTTATCAACTCGGTAAATCAAGCCAGGGTTTCTCTCACCAGCTGAGAGCGCGTTCACGTCTAAGACCCGAGTGGATCTGACTTTATTTACATTTGACTCGAGTGTTTCGTCAACATAATGTGTTGCTTAAAATAATACTTCTGCATACAGTATGTGACACTGTAAGTGTTGCACGGCCAGATACGGCTGGAGAAGCTGACTCAGATAAGGAAATATATGATATATTATGATATTATATGATCGATGATCTGATTGATGATGTAATATGAATGATAAGTGCGACACGTCGGCGTCTTCTCTGCATACGGCAGTTTAAACTGTATTTCCTTTATCCTGTAATATGATTTGAGAGATTTAAACTCCGCACACTGAGTTGATCTCTTTTCTATAGACGCCGGAGGCGGGCAGCGTCTGGTAAAAAAAGTTATTTAGCCTTCCCAAACCTGAGCCTCACGCGCCGCCTATGGGGGATGTGCTAGTGACTATCCGACCGGCCCACTTCGGTACCGGCCCATCGGGATTCGTCCCGATGGCCAGTCCGCCACTGCACCCAGCCCACGTAAACTGTCAACGGGGGGAGCCTCGCTGCGGGGAAACGGTGGACCTAGTGTCCCGATCGGAGTGGGAATAATAATAATAATAATCCGTGCATTTTATCCATTAATTTCCCCAACATTGTGGTGAAAAAACCACACGTTTAATCCATGTTGGTGAACAACTACAAAAAGCATCGGTTTGTTTTCTCATCAGGAAATGCAGACCGGCTCAAACAAACGATTTGTAATCATCATCCTCACGATCATTTAATCTATCATATTTTCGCCGAATTGACATTAAAGCACTAATAAATGTAGTTTCATCCACTTGAGTTTACAACTACAAAAATAATCGATTTGTTTTTATATCACATCCGACGGGAGGAAATTCAGCAGCTCTCACTACCGATTTGTAATCCTAATGTAATCATCATCTTCACCACGATCATTTATGTTTATGTTCGCCGAATTGACATGAAAGCACTGACAAATATGAATATACTGTAGTCAACTTCATTAAAACGTTATTAACGTGCCTAAACTCAGTAATTCACCATTTCTACGCATGACAACACACTTTGTCCGTGTTTGGCTCTCTCGCCGCACAGTGAAGCGTTCCCGCATTGACGTCACTTCCGGCTTCTCCCAAAACTTCAAAATGAGTCGAAGGAATTTCCCCGCGATGTTCGAAATTATTGATATTTAACGGAACGGTATCGCTTTTTCTTTTTTAAACTGACGGTTCGAGATGACTAGTTGCCCAATATTTCATTGCACAACAGTTGTTGGGATGCTGTCACAGGCTCTTTAAGGCCTCCACCTGAAAATTATGATTTATGGATAATGGAGTTATTCTTATATACATTTAGATTGAAAACAAAAGGTGAACATTTTTGAGGAAGTGCTCATCTTTTGTTCAGAGCAAAGTCTTCCATTTGATTAAAAATAAAGTAAACAGCATCCCACATGTTATAGGTCATGTGATTTGACCCACTGTTGCATTGAAAATGTTTTGAGAAATATATGTTATTGCGACTTAAATTTTCCATTTGTTTTAGTATGAGGTGCTATATTTTAAATTATTGATTCATAAGCAGTGGTAAAATATCACAGTACATTTACTTAAGGAATGTATTTAAGTACACTTTTGAAGTAGGCTACCTGTTTTTTAAACTCTTGCTTTTTACTTCTACCAAACTGCACCAATGCTTACAAACACCTGGTAAAAATTCATTTTCAGGCACAGTGTTAAGCATTTTAAATCCCATGCTAAAGGAAAGGGAGGAAATCATATATATTTCTCACAATAACTTATTTTCTCATATTATTATTTGTTGTAACTTCAGGTAGCTGCAATTCATTACAACACACCAAAGCATACACATTACTGTACTGACCATCCTTTGTGCTTTCTTATATTGATCCCCAGTGGACCTGACCTGGGGGGTATACTACGAAGCAGGATTTTCGCTTAGCAAGATAACTTCTGGGATTTCCGCTACTACGAAGCTGGTTCACTTTTTAGCTGGCTAGATCTCCATGGTGACTTATCCTGGAACCTAGTCTGTGCTCCGAAGCAGGATAGGTTCCAAGATAAGAGATCAACTCAGCGAAAGCACCACGCCTGCTGACCAATCAGAGCTCAGTGTGCGGAGGAAATACAGTTTAAACTACGGTTGCAGGAAAGACGGCCGGCCAAAATCACCGACTGTGTGAACGTGAAAATGAATAGAACATCACCTCCCATCTTCAGAGCAATCGGACTATTATAACTATCATTATACTATTATGTTAAGAAAGCTTAATTAAATATCTGCCACAACATAAGTAACCGGATCAAAGTAACATTACGTACAGTCCGTGGCACTGTGAGTGCAGACGTCAATGTGTCCCATTATCATTCATATCACATCATAATGTATCATATATTTCCTTATCTGAGTCAGCTGAGCCGTATCTGGCCGTGCAACACTCACAGTGTCACATACTGTATGCAGAAGTATTATTTTAAGCAACACATTAAGTTGAGGAAACACTCGAGTCAAATGTAATGAAAGTCAGATCGTGTCTTAGACGGGGCAGTGATATCATAAACCTGTTAATGTACGCATTCAAACACTTTTTCTTTTACCAGCTGTATTCACCTTGCAGGTGCAGCTAGGCTTTTATCCTGGATAAGGTGTTTAAGTCATGGATGTTTAAAGTTTAACTTTTTCATATTTGACTAATATTATAGTTGACTTTTCATTCAGGAAGTATGACGCTGCGCTGTCAGTACGCTTCTCCATGTTTGTGATTGGTCGAATGCAGAATCCAGAATGTTGTCATCAGGCTGCTTTCTTCATCCAAGCGGCACTGCAGGAATGCATCACGTGCATCCACCAGGGTGAATATACGTGCCTTCGGCAGTTTATACAACACGTCATCTAAAGTGGGCATAAGGTAGTGGGACCGTTTCAGAGCACGGTTGAGAGGCTTCGGGTCAATGCATAGTCTCAATTTGTCTGTCTTTTTCACTATGACTAGATTGCTAATCCAGTCCGTGGGTTGAGTGACTGTGGTCAAGTGTCCCTCCTCTTCATATCGATCAAGCTGAGCCTTAACAGCTGCCTTGAGGGCCACTGGAACGTTCCTGGGAGCACACTGCACCGGTGCCACAGTGCTGTCCAGCTCAACGTGAATATCACCGGGCAGAGACTCAACAGGGCTGGTGAACACGTCGTGGTAGGTGCTGACCAGACACTCCTTGGTCAGGTCTCCCTTCCTGCAGTGCTCCACCTTATTCAGCTCCTCAGGAATGGTGAAGCCAACACACTCTCACTCCATAATCGTCCAGGAGCGACGTTTGGTCAGTGTCCGTGGCGTGCAGTTGTGACGCTCCTAGGCTCCTTCAGCTTCATAAAAGGACTCAAATAGTTTTCAACTGATTGCAATGTATTCCCATCTGCGGCGGGATTTGACGCTCATGGAAGCACGGCATTCGTTTGTGTCGGCTGCCCTTAAAGGCAATGTGAGCGTCCATTCTCATTGGATAACGGAGAATTGTACACCCGGAAGTAAGTATTCCCCTTACTGTCGATTGATTTTACAGTGATATCTGCACTACTCATCGACTAAAAAACACCAGATTATCCTTGTTAATTACACAACATTGATTGGTTTAAATTGTGTGCAATGCTTTTGTATTTTTCCCCTTCGATTCGGAGAAACAAATATTTTTTCGGAGTAAAGGATGGCAGAAGACACTACACTACCCAGAATCCCCAGCTATCGTTTGGACTACACCATGTGCTTTGTTTGACAAACCCCGTGATAGTCCTCAAGCTCTGTGATTGGAGAGTATGCTCCGAGGGTTACGCCGAGCCTCGAACAGCACTTGAAATGGGATGGAACCTCGGCAGACTGTCCAAAACTGGATTTGTACTGTACTGTACCCAATATACAAGCTGTTAATACACTTTTCAATCAATCAATCAATCAATCAATCAATCAGCCGAATTAGTGTTGATACTGCAAGGAGACGTATTGTGTGAAAAGAAATGTAATATGTTGTTTAATGGCTGATATATTTATGATCCACGTCACGTTTTCAGTTCCTCATGTTTGTCTAGAAGTCTTCTCATCAGGGCTCTATAAATACAGAACTACGGCAGATATGTAATATTTAATGCAGCCGAACCGTGTATTACAATGCCGTTATGTGATGACTTTCAAAGAGAAAAGCAAGCACACTCGGAATAAAGTATTATTTATTTATTTTAAATGTTTTCGGTCTGTTTCCGGTATTTGTTAATGACGATGTGCTGTGAGATGTGAGACTGGAATTGCACAGGGGAAAATAACGTATCTTTAGATGCGGATTTTGTTACTAACTAATATGTTTGCGCTGTGGACCAACACTATAGGCTACATTGACGGGGAAGGGGGTAGAAATAAAGATAACACCATTAAACAGTTACACAACAGAAATAATATCGATAGCAGCGTCCCTAGCAACCACCTTGGTAACAATGAAAACGTTCTATAGACGCAATTTCCTGAAGTAATCTTCGTAATAACTAGCAAACTAAAGATCCTGTACATCCACTGCATACATAATCTGAAATACTCATATTTCTCGCATCAAATGACATCAAATGACATCAAAACGCATTTTAATGGCCAAACTAACTTTAAAATAGGCATTTTCCACGGAGAATAAAACGAAGTTCGGCCATGTTTTTTTTTTCTGCAGGGAGAAATTTGAAGATCACGTGACATAGACGCCAGCCATTGGAATGAATGGAATGCAGTTGGAGGTCAACCAATCAGAGCTTGAGAACTAATCACGGGGCTTGTCACACAGAGCACATGGTGTAGTCCTAAACGATAGCTGGGGATTCTGGGTAGTGTAGTGTCTTCTGCCATCCTTTACTCCGAACAAATATTTGTTTCTCAGAATCGAAGGGGAAAAATACAAAAGCATTGCACACAATTTAAAGCAATCAATGTTGTGTAATTAACAAGGATAATCTGGTGTTTTTTAGTCGATGAGTAGATGAGCAGATATCACTGTAAAATCAATCGACAGTCGGGGAATACTTACTTCCGGGTGTACAATTCTCCATTATCCAATAGGAATGGACTTGCCTTTAAGGGCAGCCGACACAAACGAATGCCGTGCTTCCATGAGCGTCAAATCCCGCCGCAGATGGGAATACATTGAAATCAGTTGAAAGCTATTTGCGTCCCTTTATGAAGCTGAAGGAACCTACAGTAGGAGCGTCACAACTGCACGCCACGGGACCCTGACCAAACGTCGCTCCTGGACGATTATGGAGTGAGAGTGTGTTGCTGAATCAGGGCCCTGCTGACAAGACAGGAAATCCACAGCATATCACTCACTCCAGCACAATACTCTCTCTGTGTGTGTGTGTGTGTGTGTGTGTGTGTTTGCAAGGCACTTTTGAGACAAATTCATGTTTGATTAATCTTAATGTATACTGTATGTATAATTGGTTAGTAGGCTACAATAAAGAAAGGATTTGTTTTGGAATTATTTTGTGTTCCGTTTTTTCTTGGGCGGCCCTCAATCCAATATTGGGTACCTAAATTGGCCCTCACTCATCAAAACTTTGAGAACCCCTGGTTTAATCATTTCAAGATTGGCTTTAATCAATGTTTGAAAATGAAATATTCATATATGATAAATGAGAGGTAACATTTTATTTATGGTATTATTTCCACATATTTCTCTCCATTCTTCCTTCTGCCAACGGTGTCGCAGTTTCTCGTCTCTCCCATTGTTGTGCTTAGTGCGTACGCATGGGTTAGAGTTTGCGTGGAGGAACGCACATTTTCCCGTCAAGTTAGTATTTTATAAATCGCAAACATTGCGTAGAAACTGTCGTACGCCATTTTTTTTAGCGTATATCCCTTTATAAATGAGGCCCCTGGTGATCCGTTAAGTCGGTTTTCCTCACAATATATAGGCCTACTTATATAAGTGCAGGGAGGAAAAAAGATAACTTTAAAGGTCCCATGTCATGCTTTTCCGGTTAATAGCCGTCCCCTTGTGTGTTATGAGGGTTTTTATGCATGTAAACGGTCTGCAAAGTTACAAACCCTCAAAGTGCACCCTGTAGCGAGTAAAACTAACACAGAAAATACCTGTCTATGCTGCCCCAGAACACCTCGTTGGAGATTTCTCTTTTTCTTCCTGGTAGGCCTACTAAGTGACGTAACGATGACCCAAATGGACCCATTGCTCCAAATGGACCAATCCGTGGAGCCATTACGTTACATCCGCGGAGCCGTTACGTTAAGTCCGTGGATTGGTCCAAATTGACAAATCCACGGACTTCCTCACACTCAATCTTTTCTCAGCTGCAGCTCCGCTGATTTCTCCTCGCTGAGATGGCGGGACGCTGTGAGTCGGTGTGTGAGCACACACACAAACTCCCAGCCAGGCTGCGGGTGTGTGTGTTCGGGCTGGGTTTCGCTGTCTCGCAAACGGCCACTGGGCTCATAGGGAGGGGGGGGGGGGGGGGGGCAGGAGCTCCAACAAGCCATTTAGGACAGAGAGTGAATACACATACTATACAGAGATGCTGTATGAGAAACCAATGTGTTTGGAAAATTGCACAATATAAATCTATTCTAGTTGACCTCAACAATGGAATTATGATCAGTAGAAATGGCCATGACATGGGACCTTTAAAGAGAAAATGAATGCTTTATGCTATTTATATCAAGGTGTAGTGGTGCTCAGCCTCTCAGCCTCTTGGGGATGAAATAAGTATCCAACAACAAAAACTGATCCTACTGCATGATATATGACATTTTTCTTGATGTGAATGTTTTCATTTTGTAGAGCCAAAACAAAAATAAAATAAATAACTGTTACTACTTACTAACCTTTACATCTTTCCTTTCAATGGTTGATATTAACTTACAAACTACTATGTTGTTCTTATCACTGCAACCTGCATTCAGGAATGAATTTGTATTTAAATGTTGCTATTTTTTATTTACTGTTTGCATTCAGCAGTCTCTCTAAACATTGACCAGAGAAAATATAACAATAACAACAACCTCTCCATTAGCTTACAAATAAAAAAATAAAAAATCCTAAAACCCTTAAAAACGTACATAACAATTCAACTTATTCAAAATGTCACAAAACGGTGCTTTCAAAATATAATACCAATCCCAAACCCATGTTTAACATATTGATATGTTTATAAATAATAATTGTAATAAAACTGCTGCATGTTATGATGCCTTCATAAATAGTTTATAAAGCGCTTTAAGGTATAACCCTTTAAGTTACAAACTAATCTGATTCTTTTCAGTCATCTATTATTCAAGTATTACTTGGAGTTGAGGTAAACAAAAGCAGATGACGGCCAACAACTGAAGTTATGAAGTAAGACGCTACATGAAACACTTTGAGGACAGGTGAAGAGCTGAAGCAGATCCTTTTCGCTAGACTACAAACGCAACACTGACTTTCTCTCCATAGCTGACCCCAATGATATGCTGTCCGACACAAATTACACAGGATTCAGGCCAATTATCCCATGGTGTGATTAGCCAAAGAGCCTTTGATGCAAGGGGCCACCTTGGGGCTGAATCAAGTCAGAAACTCTTCCTGTGGCGGTTCACTTAAGGACAGCACAAACTGTTTGTGAGTGCCCTCTGTAGAAGCTGTCATACTTTAACTGCTTTAAGTATGCATGGAGCAGCTCAAAAATGATTTAATGTCCTACTTTTCGAGCAGCCATCTTCAGATAATGGCTGTTATTTGCATATTTATTCCTTTCACCTTCATATGTAAACTTCTTCTATTTGTGGTTTGATGGTCTGTGTTTAATCGCCCTACCTTCTCTCTCTGTGCTGCCATTTCAATGTCTGGGTTAACAGAGTGATGCAGGGATGAGTAGTAAAACCCAGAAATGAATAAGCATTTTAACACTTCCTTCTTTTTTTTTTAGATGGGTCTGTGGTTCAATGTCTGAAATAAGGTCTGTGATGAACACAAGCTTACAAGATGTTCTAGTTTTGTTTAACAACAACAAACGCGTCAGTACCCCACTGGTGAGTGTCTGAAGCTTCTGTGTCATAAAATAAACAGTTGCTATTAGATTGCTACATGAGACTACTAAACGTCACTAGACGAACATTAGCCGCCTGTAGCTCAGCGGTGGTGATGAGCAGCTATGCGCCCATGATGTAGTTTGTTTATAACGTTAGCTTTTTCCTTCGAGCGTTGCATTTATGCTTCAAAAATCATGAAAGAGTGGTGTTGATATGTGGAGAATATCCAAAAGGACTAAGTATAATAAAGGTGTATTTGCAACTGATCTTATTCCCTGCAATATTCCAAAGTCCAATGAAAAAATCCGGGTCGGCAAACTATCATCTGTCATCACTGGACCACTCTATGGACCCCAAGTGGAGGCTGTCACAGAGACCAACAGAGTGACAGGTGAACTGTGTTTAGCCCGCCCCCTGCTGGAGGTTCCTCTCATAGTTTTCCAGGCAGATGTGGACACGCTGAGTGAAGTAGTTCTGCTGAGAGATGGCCTTCAGGAGGTCGGTCTGCACCAGTGTGATGTCATAGAGCTCCGAGGTGCAGGCTGTACGAGTGTCAGCGCCGCCGGGCTCCAAGAAAACCTGACACACACACACAAACACACAGAAACACACAGAAAAGGGAGAAACCAGAGAAAAGCGGGGTCACGTTAGATTTCTGGAGACGTGAACTAGCAAATGTTGTCACGATGATTGCAAAGCTACTTTATGTTTGTATAATACAGAAGCTTGTTGCACAGATGGAAAGGTAATACACAAGGCATTTCCAGTTTAATATTATTTCCAAAATCAGAACACCTTTATGGCGCTTTTCCACAGCAGGGCCTCGCACGGCTTAGTCTGGTATAGTTAGGCCTTGGTAGGCCAGGCTCACTTTATGCTGCGTTTCCATTACAGTTTAGGAACTGGGGCAGTAACTATAGTAACGCAGTGTAGGTGGTGCCGTGACGTCATCTTCAATGCGAAACACAAAACCAACATCAGCCGTTAGCTGTTAGCCCTCAGAGCTCACAGCTCCTCATATCTGTTCAGAAACTAGACAAAAGTTAAACAAGTACAAACCACAGACTGTCTGTGTCATGGCGAATACAGTCGCTGCTTTATTTATGTCTGTATAGGCCAGGCATCCTCAAAGTCCGGACCGAACCACAACTGTCTCTGGACTCTGAGCAAATTATACTTTTCATATGTATTATCTGTGTTATCTGTGTTATCTGCGAGACATCGCCACAACGCAACGAGTCAAAATGATCCGCTATGTCCATAGACTGCAAACAGCGCTCTGCATGTCCTGTTCCACTGTCTGTGTGTGTCTGTCAACACATTGGTCCAATCACATTCAGCATCCCGTCAGCGTTTTTTCCCCCCAAACAATCTGCGAATCAGAGGCACAGTAGGGCGGGTCTTCGCGGAATACGGGTGGGAAAAATGTGTGTGTCTCTTTCAACCTGTCTAAGTCAGAGCGAGAATTAAAAAAAAAAAAAATTCAGAGCGAGAGTTAACAGCTCATCTAGTTCCATCTGTACTGTAGCTAGTAGCCTAGTTTCACCTACCGGGGTGGCAACTGACACCCTAAAAATAGGCCTTTCCACCCCAGTTGGCAGCTTTGTTTTGAAAGAAAAGTTGTGGCTCATCGGACATTTATGAGAGAAAGTCTCTAATGTCCGAGTGCATGTGAATGCAGCACAAGATGCACGTCATGTAACCCCTCCCCCGGTCCTGGCGCGAGCGTGGACATATGATTGGCGGCGATTTCATTTTAACGGGACGGCGCAAAACGAGAAGCATTCGGACCCAAGCACTGAAGGAATGAGGTATTTGCGGTCTACAATGAGAGAAGAGACTCTCAGTTTGGCTGTACTCAGCATTGAATCAAAACGCACTAAAGCTGTTGATCTTAATACGTTTGTGAGGCGTTTCGCTGAACAAAATGGTAATCGCCGCATTCAGCTGTAATAGACATGTCAACTTGATGCTCTGCTCACGGATGAGCATACACAACTATTAAGATGATGACCTTACGTGTGTAAATATATTGTTTTCTTTGAGGGGGTCTGCCCCCAAAAAACTGTTTTAAGTCCTGAGAAAGTCAAATAAGACGGTGTGTAAAACTACACTGCCCAGCCAAAAAAAAGTAACCACTTTGATTGAACTAGGCCAGTAGGTAAGGACTTTCCACTGGATAATAACTGCAGTATAAAAGAATGCATGACTGAAGTGATGGAGACCATGTTGAAGGCAAACAAAAAGAGGAAATAACAGGTCAAATCAAGCAAATCCCCCTCTCAGATTCCACAGCAACCAGAAGAACATAAATACTGGCTGGTGATTTGATTAATCAGCTTTGTGATGGAATAAAAAATGCACAGTGCATTTCCTTAGCTGTGGATGAGTCCACTGACATCACTGACAATGCTCAGTTGCTGGTGTTTGTGAGTTTTTATGATGAGGCAAAGGGGGAGTTTGTTGAAGATGTGTTGGGCCTGACGAACCTCAGTGGACACACAAGGGGGCAAGACATTTATAAAGCAATAATGGGAATGCTGAATGAAAGAGGGTGCAGCTGCCTTTACTCATAACTGTGCAGCTCTTACACTGCGACTCTGAGGGATCAAGCATAGACACAATAACAATGAAAACTGATGCATACAGATTATTTTTGTTTTTGCAACCTCGTGTTAAGAATCTTGTTGCAATTGTTTAAAAGTTTGAATAATAAACGGACCTTTGTCTTATTGAAACATTTATTTTGGACCTTTAAGATTTGTATTTGAGTACCCCTGGTATAGGCCGTTGTTGTGAGTGTGGACGGTCGGGGGATATACTGCGTTAGCTTAGCCGATCTCCATTCAGAAAACACGCATTCTAAAAAGGTTTTTCGCCTGCCGTCTGTCTGCAGACTTGTCCAAGCATGAATTCATGGTTTTTATTAACCGGTATCAGTATGTTGTTACTTCGGCATCATTTTGAAACGTGTATTACAATTAAATCACGGTCAAATATGTTCATTTTGTTGTAGTTGCCAGCGATTCTCTCACTGGTTTAGCATACTCAGCCCGGTTGTTGGCCCGGAAAGAACCTCGATTTTGGAGAGCCAGAAAAACTGTGAAAAAGTACCCGCTAGTCGGAACTACGCCTAGTGGAAACGCAACCAAAAACGGCTCGGCACGGCATGGCACACTTAAACCGCGCTGTAGTGGAAATGCACCATTACACTCCATCCCTCAGGACCCTGCTATCTTTGAAGTATAAATACCAGAGATAAAGGTAAAAGTGAATAATTAAAATAGATATTGCTATAAAAAGAGATAAAGTCAAGAAATGTAATACATTATAATAATGAAAAGAGACAAAAGAGTTTAGAGTATAAAAAGTAAATAAGAAAACATGAGGGCGATGAGTCATCAATAGCACCGAGGCTGTTTGAGAGGGATCAGTCACTAGGGTAAGTATGTGAACATGCACCCATATCTATGTTGACATATTTTTAATGACGGTGGCTAACAGTTATGATAATGGAATCATTCTGTGATTCACACAAGGTGATTCACTTAAAAGTGGAACATTCTAAGAAAGAAACGTTTTACAAATAACCTAAAAACTAACAAAGTGGAATTCTAAGGCAACAAGATAATTTAGTCTACACCTTAATAAGAGAGGCTAATGTTTACTTGTTAAATAGAAAGGAACCAGTTCTTATATTAACTGCAAATAACACGTTATTTGGAAGATACTGAGCAGGTCATGGTTTCTGTAGATAGGCATTGCTGTTTGTTCGGTTTTTCAAATGGATTATTTTGCTGCTTTGAGCACCACATGCTTAGTATTGCTTCACATAGGAGATAAGGCAGACAATTTACGGTCAATATCTCCAAAATCACGTTGTTTGATACAGCACTACAAGTCAGGTAATATTTTAGGACTGGATTATATATATTGGTATTATATATCTTCGGAGATGTTGGATATTGTAAGATTGTATGTCTTCTCTTTTACAGTTTTTAAGAGCTGAAAGGTTGTGTAATTTACAGTACCAGAAAAGCAGCTTTTCAATTTTTTCACATTTAGCTAATTAATCCTTAAAGGTCCCATGTCATGCTTTTCCAGTTATTACCTGTCCCCTTGTGTGTTATGAAGGTTGTTATGCATGTAAACGGTCTGCAACAACAAGCCGTTTAGGACAGAGAGTGAATACCGGTGAATGCACATACTTTACAGAGATGCTGTATGAGAAACCAATGTGAGTTTGGAAAATTGCACGATATAAATCTATTCTAGTAGACCTCAACAATGGAAATATGATCAGTAGAAATGGCCATGACATGGGACCTTTAATTCATGAGGATTATTTATCAAAAATCTCATTGTGTAAATAAATATTTGATAAAAGCATCAATGGTGAAATCTTTCAATCAAGATATTTAGTGAAACATTTTGTGATTTCTTACTTTTATATTGACCAGGTCTTGGATAAATGTATTTTGATTTCATGGTGAACTGTCCCTGGACTTATGGTGTGATTGCGGAGTGATTGGGCACAAGTTAACCAGCTCTCTCAGGTTGGTTCAAATAAACCCATGAAATCCAACTACTCAACAATAAAAAGTAAGCTACGAGTGGGGGAAACTATCAAAAAAGCCGGGAATCCAACCAAAAGCAAGACAAAAGGAGCCTGAAATGGAAGAAATCTTTGAAGCTAGCGCACACGAGGAAGAGCTAACAGGGACACTAGGATAAGCTACAGCAGGGCTCAACATTATAAATGGCCCGCTGGCCCGGAAGCACTATTTAGACACCCCGGGCCAGCATAACATACTTTCCACTTGCCCGCTCGGGCCACTAAAAATATTGTTTAAAAAAAAAAGTTTCCTGTGGTATTGGTATTTTGACTAGCAATTTTGTTAAATTGTTTCGTTTATTAACGCTACAACATTGCATACTTGCCAACCCTCCCGATTTTCGCGGGAGACTCCCGATTTCATTGCCCTCTCCCGGTTTCCTCCCGGGGTCATATTTCTCCCGATTTCTGACAAAATCAAATTTACTCAGGACTGTTTCCACTCGGACTTTAATACAGCTACACCATTGTTTGGTTTCCATGGTAGCGTGTCTCTTTAGCAGCGCGCGCAACTCAAAGTCTGAGAGGGTGAGGAAGATAGTCACAGAAAACTGAACAAGAATCGACAACACGACTCTCTGCTCACTCCTTTCCAGCCCACACATATGCTCCATCAAGGATGGTGCTACAGGCCGCAAGGCAGTGCACTTACCACTACAATAAGCATGTTAATGTTAATCTAATACAGCTCCGGCGATGATCCACTAGCACCCCCCAGTGGCATTTTACCCTTAATGTCTACCCCTGCTACAGGATAACACAGAACGCTACGAGTCGGGCTAGCATTAGCAACAATATCAAAGAGCTCAAACAGGAGCTACGACACCACTTATCCACATTGAAAGACGAACT